CTCAGGAGGGACTGCATCACGCAGACATTGCACTCAAGTAGTCTACATAGTTGTCTCCTCCGAGTTTGTAGTGAACTAGAACCTCTTGGAAAATGCCCACCTTCTCCCTCATCAACCACTCCCCACACCAGTGGATCATAGAGCCCTCTTGATCTACTGCCACCTCTCATCTTCTCCCTTCCCCTTCCAGCCCATGAATCTCTCACCTGGCCTAAAGCAAAAACATCTGAATTTGTTTCCCACATGCTTACACTTTTATTCGCCCTCTGTCTGTTCTCCATGTAGTCACCAGAGTGACTTTTTTCTTTCTTCTTCTTTTTTTTTTTTTAATGCCACCTGATGAGGTTAGTGCTCTGCTGAAAATTCGTCAAAGTCCCATTAATGAAAATCCAAGTGCCATATGACCTGGACTCTGCCTGCCTCTGTAACTTGATCACTGTCTACCCCCAGTCCTCTCTCTCTGAGCTCCCCAAATTCTAATTGCCATGCTTCTGCCCGCCCCAGTCTCTCTACATGCTCCTCCTTCTCCTGAGGAAGCTCTTCCCTTACACCGTGGCTCTCCCTCTCCACCCCTGTTCTCCACCCTCCCCATCTTCAGGGACCAACTATAATGTCACTTTTTTAGACAGGCCTTCCCTGACCCTCCAAAATTAGATACTCTCATAGTACCCTGTACCTTCTCTTTATTGCATTTACCAGAATTTTAATTTTATGCTTGTTGAGCATCTTCCCTCTCTAGAGCAGAAGCTTAATGAAGGCAGCAACTTTGCTATATCCACAGGGCTCCTGTTTGGCAGCTAGTAGGCATTCAATAAATATTTGATGGATTTGACTCATTCTTCCTTTTCTCAGATCTATGCAATGATGTTAACCAGAAGATTAAATAAATGGCAGGAGTTACCATAGAGTTGAAATTTGTTGGTGGTCTGCCTTGGCCTAGTTCATGGGGTTAAGTCAGTCACAGGAGAGAATAAAATTCTCTTGAAGACTTAACAATGATAAAGCCATTTATGTGATCTTATTTTATTTCTTAGGACAATCTCTTCTGAGTTCAGTGTATTCTCCCTATTTTGTAGATGAGGAAACTGATGGTCAGAGAGATAAAGGGACTCCCTCAAACTCACATGGTTCACAAATGGTAGAGTTAGGACACCCACGGAGGTCATTTGGACTCCAAAATTACAAGTCTGTTTGGAATTATGGGAAGGACAGTGGCATGTTTTTCTTTTCTTTTTTTTTTTTTTGTAACTATGAGTAGGCCAAGGTCAAAAAGCAAAATAAACATAAAAGTGAAGTCCTGTAGATTTCATGCTTCTAGTTGGAGCCAAACAACAACTCTGAAAGCACCGGGAATGAAAAGAGTATAAAATTTGGGGGAACTCAATCTTTTTATTACATATTTCAGGTTTTCCTGTCCACTGAAGTAAAATTAAGGGGTGTTGAATTGTCTGGCAGCATGGAAGAAATCAAGTCTACCTAGTCTTTCTATTACACTTTTGATGGGATTTATATGTGTTAAGAAATGCAGGCATAAAATTAAATAGGATAAACCATCCCCTTTCCTTATTTCTCCAGCTTCAATGATACACGAACTAGCCTACTTCCTTTTTTCCCTCTTACTTCGAACACAGCGAGTAATTATGTGTTTGGCACAAGAAGGTTCTTAAAGTGGTAGGAGTATTAAACTGAGGGGGCTGTAGGGGCCGCAGTGGAAAGCAGGGCTCAAGTCAGTGTGGAGACTGGTTTCTTGGTTCTTTCAAGTTATTTGTGAGGCTGAGGCTGGCTTGTTGGAGCGATTCCTACCGATGTTACAGTTTGGAAGTTTTCTTTTGATCTTATTTTAACGTCTCTATAAAGTAAATCTGTGCTCCCCTCCCCCACATATATATGTGCCTAATGAGAGAATAATGCAAGGGGGATGATGGAAAACAACTACTGCAGATACACCGATGGAGAAAAGGAGGGAAAAAGACAATTCAGCATTTGGGATTGGCGGTGAGTCCTCCATCCCATGAGTCTGGGAAAGGGGAACACTATGCAGGGCTTAACTCTGAGTTAATCCCCTACTGTAGTAAGCATGAGCCAGTTTGACAGAGGACCAGTGCCTGGCAAGGTGTGGTTAAATTTGCAAAAGACTGAGAAAGAACAAGAAAGAATCACCAAGTTGTTAAACGAAAGGAGAGAAGTTAACAAACAAGCGAAACTCAAAGTGTTTGGGACACTTAACGTGGAGAACAAAGCACCTGTGATAGGGTAGAAATGATTCTGAAGGTGGTGAGTTCATCTCATGTCCCTCATACGCTGGATGCCCTGGTTCCAAATACCTGAAGAGAGGCAAGGAGAATGATGTCCACATCCACACTTTCATTCAGATGTTTAACACCTGTTTAGTACCAGGCATTGGTAATTGTGGATACTCTGGCGAACAGAGAGATATGGCTTATGCCCTCATGAGCTTACAGTGTAGTCAGAAGAAGCACAACACAATGTGACAAGTGCAAAAATAGAAGCCCGAGTTGCCTGGGAAGCAAACAGCAAGACACCTGACTAGCTAGGATTCAGGAGAAACTTCCAGACTGCTGGAAGATCTGAAGGACAATATCTGTGATGATTAGTTTTAGGTGGCTTGGCTACAGTACCTAGTTATTTGGTTAAACACTTATCTAGGTGTTGCTGTGAAGGTATTTTGTACATGTGGTTGCAATCCATAATCAGTTGACTTGAAGGAAAGATTACCTTTGATGATGTGGGTAGGCCTCATATAATCAGGAAGGTCTTATGGGCAAAAACTGAGGTTTCCAGAAAAGAAGAAATTCGAGACAGAAGTATCAACTCTTGCCTGAGTTTCCAGCCTACTAGAACTGCCCTAGGAATTTCAGATGGACTTGCCAGCCCCCATGACAGCATCAGCGAATTCCTTAAAATAAATCTTTTGCACACACTACATACATGCCCTATCGGTTCTCTTTCTCTAGAGAACCTACTAATACAATGTCTTAGACATGTAAAGCTGAGGGAAGGTGTGTGAGGGAAGATGAATGTACCCAGAAAGGCCTGGAATGAAAAAGAGAAGCCAGATCAGGAAGCAAATTATATGTCACCTAGAGAGTTTGAAAAGGTTTTTAGTGAGAGGATCAGATTCACATTTCAGAAAGGACATCCGATTATATTGAGAGCAGAAGTGGAGAAAAACATGTTTCTGTTCCAGCAGGAAGGAATTCCTAATAAGGAAGACATTTTTAATAGAAGAGGTGCTGAGTCTTTTCTGGAATTTAAAAAATGATTTGGCATTTTTAAGCATTGATGGCCACAATTCTGCAAAAGGCTTTTAACGTTCTTTTTGTCATCAAGAGTGTTTCTGCTCTTCCTGACCTCCTTAAGATCTATAGCTTTCACTAGTTTCTCACATCTACAGTTTTCCTCAGGAAGTTCTCCTTGTAGCTGGCAAAATACTTCAAGTTGGCCCAGCAGCCCTTCTGGAAGATAAACTCTCTAACACAGCGGTGGAGGTGGGAGGGTGGAGGTCAGCGGGGTATTCCCGCAGCGAAAGCGAGAAGGAAGGGAGAGTTTACACTCGGGCTGAAGTTCCGCTGCATCACGTGTGTGGCGAGGGGACCAACCTATTTCAGCTGCAGCCTGGACTCGGCGCGCTCTCTTCCCCTCCTCTGCGGGTTCGGTGCCCGCACCCCTGCAGCCAAGCGTTCAGCTGCCCCCACGCGGCAGTCTACGAGTCTGGGCGGGGTCTGGCATCCGCCAAGCTGGGATCTTGAAACGGAGGTGTGCCGGAGCGCAGGGTTCAGACTGATGTCCAGGTCTCCCACTCCGCTGCTCGGCCGAGAACATCCGCAACCCCTGACCCAGCAAAGAGGTCTTGCCCTGAGAGCCTTCCGATTTTTCTTCCATTCCCTCTGCAACCCTAGATGTCTTCTGCACCCTAGCTCCCGGTGCGTTCCCCATCCTTTCTGTTTGGAACCTTCTGTTGATCAGAGCTCGTTGCCCAGGTCAAGCACCCCAGGAGGTGGGATGTGGTGGGGGTTGCTGGTGACTCGACAACACTTCCCTAGGCGTAGACTGCAAGAGGCCAGCAGCCCCATTACCGACCCCACTCCGGGGGTCTCAGGGCGCCAATGGGGTTAGTTCTCTGCACAACCCTGGGTGGGTGGAGGGTGGGCAAGGGGAGCGGAAGATGCCCACGTGCAGGGGTCCTGGGACCCGCGCCCTAGAGCATAGTCCCGCGCCCCGCCCTGGAAGGAGATAGGTTGGAGCTCTGTCTGTGCACCAGATAGTGAGAATGGGCATGTGGGGAAGGGGCAGTGGTAGTGGAAGGGGCTGAGGGAGAAGAGGCAGCAGATGAGCCCCAGGGCAGTGCCCCCAGGCGAGGAGGCAGGGGCGACGCCGGCGCGGGTTGGGCTAGGAGGGGGTGCGGAGAGGCGAGCCCAGGCGGGGAGACCGAGGGTGGGAGGGCGGAGGAGGCGAGGGGGAGGGAGTTCCGAAAGGAGGGAAAGGAGCAGGCGAGGGACGAGAGCAGCGAGCCTGGCAGGGAGAGCGGCGGAGGGCGGCCGAGCTGTGGGCAGCAGGGCGCCCCGCTCGCCGAGCCCGTGCCACACCCCCCGCCCCCCGGGGCCGGAGGGCCTTGCCGGGGGAGACACACAAAGACATGAGAAGAGGGGCAGAGCGAGGCTCGCGCACAAAGACGCCGGGGCGCACGGCCGCTCGGGCTGCACCGACCGCCCCCGCGCCGCGCCGCGCCGGGGACCCGCCAGCGCGGAACCCGGGGCGGAGCGCGCGGCGGCGGCGGCTGCCGGCTGGCGCGGGACCCGGGTCGCCCGCGCTCTCCGGGTGACCCGGGCCCGGCCGCAGGCGCGTGCGGGGGTGGCGGCGCCCGCGCCCAACTTGGCCTCGGCCTCGCCCTCTGCCCAGCCCGCCGGTGTCCCCTCCTTCCCGCGATTTCGTTTCTCACGCTCCCCCACCCCCTCCCGCGTCCAGCCCCGCTCTCCCCACCTTGTAAAACAAAGCCGGGGAAAATGCCTGCCCGTGCAGCTCGGAGCGCGCAGCCCGACTCTGAATAAGAAGTGAGTACAATGGCGTGTTTGTAAAAGCAAGTCCGTCTTTTTCAAACATTTTGAATGCTGCATGCCTCATGCTTCCCAGCGCCTCGCGGGAGAGACCCGGCTATAGAGCAGGAGGTGAGACCCCCGGGTGACCCCCCACGGAAACCTCCGGCCCCGCTCTTTCCCGCCCCTGCCTGGACTGGGAGGGCTGCAAATGCCCCGCTGGCAGCAAGCGGACGTCCTCCACCTTCGTTTCCCGTCCAAGGTGTTGGGTCATAATCTGGGCTTGGAGGCAGACCGATGCCTGGCTCCTCTGCTGGTTGCTGCTCCCGCCTCTCCCGCTGGTGCCTGGGGCTTTTGCATCTGCCTCGGGTGTGGGTTTGGGACACCTTGGGGGAGTTTCCGAAGGAGGAGGAGGGTCAGCCCTTGGGAGCAGCCGACAGGCAGGACGCATGGTGACCCTGGTCACACTTGTTGCCCATTGCGTGGTGGGACAGGCAGTGGTGCTGAAAAACTCGTTTCTCTTGCTGTGGAGTCAGCTGCGGCCCGGAGCGTGGAAGGCATACCTGCGGGAGGCTGGGAGACTGGGATTAAGAGGAGACTGTGATGTGCTGGAGGTAGAGGAGGGAGGTAGTGATGGTGAGGACAGTGTGTGCAAGGGACGACTGACTCTTTGATTCCTTGTTCTGAGGAGCGTCTCTGCCTGATCATACATCAAACGACGTGGAGATGGAAACACAGAGAGAAAAGGCTGTTTTTTATTTTGATACTTTACCAATTGCTGGCCATTCTGTCTGCCAAATGTGCATACACACACACACACACACACATATATATACATTTCTGCTAATTAAAAAAATAAGGGAATAGCTTAAAAGAATTAAACTTCATCAGGAAATGTATTAGCTTAATACACATACACACAGTCTTTTAAAAACATATCTGTCCCTTTTCCCCCAAAGCCTATAATTATAAGGTGTTAGTGTGGCATTGGGATTTAGGATTGGGATTTGGATGCATCAAGGTGAACAGTCTTGGTGTTTTCCACTTCTACAGACTATAGAAACCACTCATGTGAAAAACCAGAAATATGAGAGCACAGAGAATTGGAAAGGAAAGGCTTGGAAAGCTTCCTTCAGAGAGATAATGTGGATTTCCTGTTATTTTTATTCCAAAGATAGATTAATTTTAGATTATGACCTTTATTTTTCACCCAAAACACACTAAGAAGCCTGGCGGTGGGGTGGCGTAGCTAACCAGTAGATGACAGTGATATCAGCTGTTATCAGCATGTCTATTAAAAAAAGTCTTTCTAATTAAAACAGTAAAACACCCAGTGCTAATTCTGAGCAAAGTTGCTGTTATAACTATGACATGACAAAGGTGTCTATTGGTTTGTGGCTTTATTCTGAGCAGGTGACTATATCAGGAGAGAAACAGGTACATACCTGTATCCAGCAGGTTCAACCACTGGAAATTGCTGAAAGGAGCGATTCAGTCTCTATGTGGAATCTCTACTTGGAGCCCTGGGTATAGTTACTTCCTTGGCTCTCTGACTTCATCTCTTCAAAGTCAGAGCCATTCAGGGTTTTTGCTGGTTAGAGGAGCCCTCTGTTATCGGCTACCATTGTACAACACTACTTAGGTCTAGGGCTTCAAATAGCTTTGTTTGCAAAGCTTCTTTGTGATGGGCAACTGATGATTTGTTTTCTGAACTCAAACTGCGGTAGTCCTACATTGAACTCACAGTGGTAGTCAGGAGGGCAGGGTTTCTAACCCTGTGAAAACTGACACTTTCCGTTCTCTTTTTATCCTCGAGTAATTTCAGATTCCTGTAGGGTATTTGGGTGCAATTCCATAGGGATTTCTCACTTACCTAAAAGTGTCTTTTAGGTTAGGTTATTACTATATCAAACCTGTATTATATATACCAGAGTAGTTTTACTTATATCTATAACAATTGTGGACTCTAAATTCATTGTTCTGATTGAGTTGGTGTTTTTTTTTTAAAGTCCCCCTGGTTTTTTTTTTTTTTCTAGCTGTTCTGTTAACCTTTTTGTTTCAGTGTTGCCTTTCCAATCATTCTGTAGTAGATGGCTTATTTTCCCCTTAGCAAGTAGAAGTCTAGTATCTTCGCATTTTCTAAAAAGAAATCCATTAATGATATTTTTGAACAGTTGAGATAAATAATAAATGGATTTACAGTCACCTCAGAGTATATGGGAATTTGTAAGAGAACACATAAATCCACTCTAATGGAGCAATTAGCTTTGTACAGAGCATGGAGGGTCTGAGGTGGAAGATGAGGTTTTACGTTTTTTTCTTGATAATGTTCACTGTTGAAATGGAAGGAACTTGTCACGTCTTGGCTGCACCTAGGATGGTGCCAGAAAAGGTAGCAATACTTTTGTTTTCTCAAGATGTCAGAGATTGTATAACAAGATAGAGAGAATGTTTAATCATGAACCACTTTAGAGGGTAGGCAAAGAGAAATGATTGGGCAATTGAGTGGTTTACTTACCATCATGTTTTACCAGAAAATGACTAATGTTTTACTTTGAGCAACAATGTTTGGATCCCAAATTCGCTTATAATGCCATCCCTTTATTACAATGAAATTTTCCATAAAAATAAAGAATATTCCTTATGTTGGTTGCTTGTGATATAGAGGGTTAAGTTCTTGAGAACAGGAATCATCCATGAACTTTCATGAGTATTCATGAGTTAGTACTATCAACTCTTAGGAGTTCAGTCTTTGTTGAGTAGCACGGCGAACAGATGTAAAATTAAAAATTAATTAGCAAGACCTCAGGCATTCTTTTATTATTTTTTTTAAGTTTCTTGGTCCACCTCCTGTTCTCTTCCTCCCATCCGGAACCCCAATAGCAGCAGAGAGCTGAGACCCAGCCCCTTTTCCTTGAACCTATGTATGAAGTCCTGGAAGCGATGTAGTGGGAGCACTCTAGTTGGTTCCAGACCGTCCACCAGGAGAGCAGTGGAGTTCAGTCTGCCTTTGCTCAGCCCCTAAAGAAACCCAGCCGTTACCCCCTCTACTCTTCTCCAACCTAACGTTCATTCTCTGTTGTTGTCAGTGGCGGCACCTGACTTGCTGGATCCTAAATCTGCCGCTCAGAACTCCAAACCGAGGCTCTCGTTTTCCACGAAACCCACAGTGCTTGCTTCCCGGGTGGAGAGTGACACGACCATTAATGTTATGAAATGGAAGACGGTCTCCACGATTTTCCTGGTGGTGGTCCTCTATCTGATCATCGGAGCCACCGTGTTCAAAGCCTTGGAGCAGCCTCATGAGATTTCCCAGAGGACCACCATTGTGATCCAGAAGCAAACATTCATTTCCCAACACTCCTGTGTCAATTCGACTGAGCTGGACGAACTCATCCAGGTAATAATGGCACAGAGGAGTTGTTACCCTGCTTCCTCTCTGGGGAAAGAAAGTAACAGCAGGAGGAGGCTACCTGTAGCACAGTGGCGGGCCTATGGGGGCCCAATTCCACTTTCTCTTTAGCATCGACTCGTCTCCTTTCTGTACTTCTTCCCTCTTTTCTTACTTTTTCTCTCTTTTCTTCTCCTTCTCCTTCGTTCCTCCCTCCTTCTGCTCCTTCTTACCCCCTTCTGCTCCTTCTGTCCCATTGGCTCCCTCATTTGTCTTTCTTTGCCCTCTCTTAGAACTGCCAGTGGACCCCCATGGAGATGGGGTTGCCTTGCCGGAGGCTTTTGTGGTCAGATTCTCATTGCCGACTGAGAAACATTGCCATGGCAAGTGAGAGGAAGATCTAAGGCAGAAAAGTGCTTTAATCATGCCAGGGGCCATCATAAGATAGAAGAGATGAGTTTATGGTGTGACCCTCTTGAGATGGGTGCCCCTCCTGGTTAACAAGTTGTAGCTCACCTCTTTAACCTAGTCAGAGTATAACTCTGATAACTGCCTTTTAGGCTCCTAGAAAAATGATGCATCCTTGCTTCTCTAAACCCTAACTAAAAGCAATTTACTATTACACAGAAAAGTGCAGTTTTTGAATTTTAAAAAATAATTTCGTTTTCATGTACTCTTTCATGGCGGAATGGTGTTCTTAAGGAAAGTACTTTGTTATAAAAGTTAATCACAAAATGATTTAAACGTTTCAGTTAGGATCCTTGGAGATGGCTCTATTTTTATTGTAGATTTCTTTTACATAAAACAATTCAGTGGTCAAATCAAGAGTCTGGTCAGAAGGAAGCCCTAGGATGTTCTTTCCAGGAGAGATCTGACTGGTTGTGGGAAATATTTTAATTGTATAGATACTCCTTTTCCTGTAGAACCTACTTTTCTTAACTGGTGTAAGTTGGATTGGACTGAAAATGATCTGAGTCATCTGAACATGTTCTTCCTCATCTTATATTTGGTTTGACATCATTTGAATGAGTTGGAATAGTAGATTGAGGGAGGAAATTCTTACTGGTTTTAATCCAGTCTCCTATTCAAAGACCTTTTCTCTCTTATTTCCCTTTTGCCATGGATACCCCACAGGCTACCTCTGCCCTTCATGCCTCTTTCTATTTGTAGACTACACATACAAGTTCTCATTCAAGTTTTACTGAAAGCTGTCAAACATAGTATTCGCTCACCCTTATTTAGCTCTTACTATATTGAGACACTTCTGCCTCTCAACTATTTGACTTACATTTTGAAAATACTCCTCAGATACTTATATCCTGAATTCCCTATTATTTTTAGATGATGGCAATATTTTCAGTATTGACAGTGAACCTGCCAACAGATGTCGTTGTCCCAGCTCCCACATTGCCTGTTCCTACACAAGATCACTTTCACTTCACTCTTGTCTTTGTGCCACAGAGTTCTAAGAGGTACTAAAAAATCTTAAAGAATTCCCATTTCCCTAGGGTTTTAAAAGAAGAGCTCTAGGTTGTCCTGGAGGTAGCATCAGATAGGATGTGTTTTAAACTCCAGTTGAGCACTTTTCTAGAGGTGTCATCCTGAACAAGTACCTTGGCTCTCTAAGCCTTCAGTGATCTCTCTGGAATGCGGAAAGAATATCTACCAAACAGGGTTGCTGTGAAGAGTAAAGAGATAATTCCTATAAAGCATTTAGGATGTCACAAAGTGTTAGGTTTGTTTGCTGTTGTTTGTATTCGTGCCCTTCCCCCCCATGCCCACCCCATCCCTTTATTGGGCTGAAGTATCTGATTCAGGCAGTTCCATTCTTCGCATCTGAAGCAGTGTGGTGGGTTTGGGGCAGGGGGGAAAATGCCTGGAATTTCAGGACAATGCTGGAGGAAACCCGGTGTGAATTTGGAAAAGGGTCTCACTGTTCTGTACTACCTTGATTTATTCATAACTGTGAAAATAACTTGAAGGTCATGGCAGGTAGAGACAATCTGGAGGTGGAGACTGATCACTTTTGCTCTGTTGTTTTTGGAATGGATACAGACAGAGCTCAACAATGACCTAATCTTTTTCTTTCCACCCCACAGAGGAATCTCTTTTAGCTTTATTAATATTCACTGCTGATGAGAATCTCTGCTTTTTAAAAATCTCAAGTATTTTTGTGCTTATTCAGAAGTCTGTTATTGTCATATCACTCATCTTTAGAACCCCATGGCTTTAATAAATTATTTTATTCTCTTTGAATAAACTTTCTTCTGATAAAAGAAATGTTTATAATGGCGCGGCTTCAAGGATCAAGATCAGTATTTAAATAGGGAGGAAGGCAAATGAGCCAGTAATCTTATATTAGAATTACGTATCGTTCATATGATTCTCGTAAATTTCCACGTGTTCTTCCCACATTTATTTGCCCATTTAATCATCCCTTAAAACTTCATGAGTAGGTATATTAGGCAGTAATATCAAAGCATTAAGGATTAGGGAGCTAACACCCAGCAGTCCCAGTGACTTATGCCAGACAGCATTATGAGGATGAGAGTTCAGGTGTTCAGAACCTTGATCTGCTATTATTCCCAGGAGTCTTGGCTGGGTTTAGCATTTTTCAGTGCTAAGAGGGGAGTTAGAAGTTCAGTCCTAGTGTTGGTGGAGAAGGACTTCTGGATTCCTTTTATGAAGATCAGGGAAGGAGGAAGAAATGTGTAGTCAGACTGTAAGGTCAGGTACAGTTAATCTAATTTGGCCTCAGGCCCCAGGTTATTAAATACACCCCTGGATGGGTTATGGTCACTTCATAACAAGCTGTGCTTGCATCACAGGGTGGGGTAGGTGAGGGAGGGGAGAGAAGAGAACAGAGCTTTGAGGCTCCTGGGAGCAGTTGCTTCTTGTGCTACCTGGTCCTAGCTGTGCTTTCCCTCTGAGTGCTGTCTTGACATCGGCCATCCAAGGCAAGATAGAGGATTGAGGAGGGGGCAGAGCTATCAAGACAAAGGAATCTGAAGGGCTAAAGTATTTTGAACACTTTGATTTTCAACATCCATTACATTTAAGTTAGTGTGATGTCAGTACAGAAAAACATGGTAACACTGAAGTTTCAAGAGTCATGAATACCATTAACCATAGCCAACATTTAATGAGCACTGACTATGTATGTACAAGGCACTGTTCTAAGCGTTTACGTGTATTGTCTCATTTAATTCTCAAGTAACCATAGGAGGTAAATGCCTTATTAACTGCGTTTAAGTTAGGCGCGAACTGAGGCAGAAGGAGCTTAATTTTCCAAGAGAACAAAGTGCTAGAGTGCAAGTTTAAATAACTTAGGTTATTTAAACCTAAGTGGACAGACTCCAAAGCTTATGCTCTTAGCTCCTGTATTACTGCCTCTAAAAAAATTAATAAACATGAAGTTTGCTGTAAAGCTTCCTGTTATTCCATGTAGAAGAGTGGAATAAATATCAAATTACAGTCCTCTGTACATAGTGATGTATATTATATGACCTATCTCTTCCTCCGTGTAAGAATGGGGAGTATATAACCTGAGGAGTTTTTTTTTTGTATGGTTTTTTGTTTGTTTGTTTGTTTTGTTTTTTTTGAGAGAGAGAGAGAGAGAGAGCGTATGTGTGCACAGGCAAGGGTTGGGGGGAGGGGTGGGAGAGGGAGAGAGAACCCCAGGCAGTCTCCGCACTCAGTGCAGAGCCCACTGCTGGGCTCAATCTCATAACCCTGAGATTATGACCGGAGCTGAATTCAAGAGTCTGATGCTTAACTGACAGAGCCACCCAGGTGCCCCTATAACCTGGGTTTTAATATTCTTTCTGGAGAGCACTTCCTGGTTTTCTCCTCTTTGAATGTGGTAAACCAGCAGAGAGGCATGGTTACGTTGGATATGGCTGGTTGTCAATCTAGTCACTTCCATATTTGCTGAATCAGTTCTGCGATTAAAAAGCTAGAGCAAAATCTATGATCTGTACATTGATAATAATTATTTTCTCATTTGAGCCCCACAACCCCTGTGAGGTAGGTAGGGAAGGTATTCTGTCTGTTTTGGGGTGAAAAAACGGACACATTTGCATGAGGTCATGTGGTCTTGGGTCTGGATTTTTGGAGCCCTCCTCCTGAGGGGATTATATTCTCTTTGTGCTGTTCCTTCTTCTCAGTTTGGTTTTTACTTCTTCGTTCAGTGGCATTTGTTGAGCACGTCCAATGTGTTGACCTTCATACTGGGTATTGGGGCAAGTAAAACGATCAGAAAAAACATCTTCAGGCACTCCCTCCTTCAAAGTCAAGTGGAGGAGACCATCATAAACACAGCCACAGAGGCACCTGGGTGGCTCAGTCAGTTAAGCTTCTGCCTTCAGCTCAGGTCATGATCTCAGGGTCCTGGGATCGAGCCCTTCATCGGGCTCCCTGCACCCCTCCCCCCTGTTCATGCTTTCTCTCTCTCTTTCTCAAATAAATAAAATCTTTAAAAAAAAAAAATCACAGCTACTTGAAGTTCTTAGAGATTGGAGCTAGACTACTGAGGAAGAAATGAACCACTTAATGAGAGACAGGAAGACACAGAGAGGAGGTAAAAGGGAAACTGGATGTTAAGTGTGGAATCAGAGTATTTGGCGGTGGGAGAGGCAAGGGGATCAGCGGATTTTCTAGGCAGAAGGAGCATGATGTGCTCCAGTAACTGAATTATCTAGATTGAGGAGCGGGGGCATCAGCAAGTTTAACAAAGGAGAACAGGGCCTCCTGTACCCATACCAGGGATGTGGGCTTTCTCCTGAGCCTGTTCTCCACCTGGGGTAGATATACCATTGGGGCATTTGGTTGTTTTCCAGGGGATACCTGGAGCTGCATGCCTTCCTAGAATGCCAGTGAACTTTCAGAACAAAACCGAAAACATTGTTTCATATTAATTATATAATCATTCATTCATCCAAAAATATGTATTGAATTCCTGCTATGTGCATTGTCCCAGGCACAGAAATATGGTGGAGAATAAAACAGAC